AGTTCGTTGCTGGCGATGGAGGCCGGGGCGGCGGCGAGGGCCGGGGCCGCCGCCGCCGCCGCCGCCGCCGCTGCTGCTGCCGGTGGTGCCGCCGGTGCCGCCGGCGGAGGAGGGAAAGTGGAAGCTCGCGGGGGCGTCAGACACGGCCACGGTGGTCCCAACCCTTCTCCTGGAGGGGGCAGCGGCAGCGGCAAGAGAAGCGGCGGTGACGGTGGAGCGGGTGTTCCCCCGCGGCGGCAGGATGATGACGCGGAGGAGGAGGAGGATGCGCCGTGGTTGAATACCCCCCGGCACGAACGCGATGGCAGCGGTGGCGGTAGCGGCGAGGATGTTTCCTCGTGGACGGCCCGTTGGCGTGAGCTGTACGGGACCGGCAAGGCGACCGACGAGCCGCCGTCGTCGCTGGACAAGGTGGTGGGCGTCCCGCGTCAGGCTAGGGCGAGGATCGTGCACATCCTGTACGACCATGGTTCGTTGGTCAGGGAGGTGGAGGTGAGAAGCGTGTCATAGAGCGAGCGGCGAGGGCCCTGGGCTCTGGTGCTGGTATTGATGTTGTTGTTATTGTGGTGGTGGGCGTTGCAGGCGTAGGCGTAGATTCGTGACAGAAGGGTAGCAGAAAGAAGCACGCAGACACGAAGTTCTGGGACATGGGACAAACAGACGGGGCTGGGACGAAGGGTCTACGCACCTCTCTCATGATTCGTCTGATAGGGGGACTACTTGACTCGAATATGTGTTTTTTGTGTCCAAGTCCGTGTCGCCCGTTTCGTTTCTTTGCCTTGCCCCGAAAGAAGGAATGATTTCTCTCTCCCCCTTCTCTCTGCCTTACCAACGCAATATCTTGCTTCCTCTCTCTGTGTGTGTCTCTCTCTTACCAACGCAATATCTTGCTTCCTCTCTCTGTGTGTGTCTCTCTCTCTCCTTTATGTCGGTGGTATCTCCGGTTGTGCCACGGTTGCGCCGTTCAGGAGAGCTTCGGGATGGAAATTATCCCTGTCCCGCGGACGCTAGAGCAGGCAAAACTGCCCCGAATACGCCGGGTGAGGATGGGCGGGGTCCATTGAACAGATTTATCGTTGTCGTCTTGTTTTCGGAGAGGACATGGCAGGAAATTGACGTGGTTTGAACGACAAGTAGAGGCGCGGTCGACTAACACTTCACCCACCCCCGTCGATTTGTGTAGTCTGGTCGCTTCGCCAACATGCAGGTGCAGGTGTGGTTGTCGTTGTTGTTGTTGTTGTTGTTGTTGTTGTTGTTGTTGTTGTTGATGTTGTTGTTGTTTTTGATGCGCTACTGCTGTTGTGGCTGCTGCGGTCGCTGCTGCGGTCGCTGATGCTGCTGCTGCTGCTCCTTCTACGGCCGAGCCCATCTTTGCACATCCGACCCCTTCCTTTCTCATGCACGCCATGAACATCATCTACAACTGTTCCGATATCGCATCACCCAAAACCCAACACAGAGATTGGCGGCAACGGCAACCGCGGGGTCGTCGCCCTCGGCCTGCTCAACACGTGAGATCGCCAAGAACGGGGAAGCAACAGCAGCAGCACCGGCAGCGAAAGCAGAGACGGATCGGGTTGAGGAGCTAGACAGCGGCGACGGCAGCGGCGGCGGTGAAAAGCTTGGAGGTGGTAGCGGCGGTGGGCCCGTTGCGGTCGACGCGAAGGATGGCGTCGAGGCCAACGGCGTGGACGTGGAAGCAGCTTCCGGCGAAGAGGCCGGTGGCGGCGGTGGCGGTGGCGGTGGTGGCGGCGGCAGCACTACCGTCAGGAACGACAGCAGCATAGCCGCGTTGTCTTCGTCAAGTGACCCCAACGCGGTGGCGGCGGCACCGGGGGGATCAGATGCAGCGGGCCAAGGAGAGGGGGGCTGCGACGGCCTGGCCGACGAGGAGTCCCGGGGCGAGGAGCTCATGTGCGCCGTGACGTCATTCGGGCAGGACGGGCAATTTCGGATCGTGCGCGCGAGCCGGGCGCTTTGCGACCGCACCCGCGCCTCCGCCCGCCGCCGTCGCGCCGCAACCACCACCCAACCCGAGCAAGCTAAAGATCTGGAGCAAGACCTGCCGCCGTCGCCGCCGCCGCCGCCGCCGCCGCCGCCGCCGCCGCCGCAGCAGCAGCAGCAGCAGCAGCAGCAGCAGGGAGAAGAGACTTCGGAGGACGCCGACTGCTTGCGGGGCCGAGAGCTGGGCCTCGCGGTTTGCTTCTGGCGGCGGAGCGGCGGCAGGCGGAGGAGAAGGCTCCGCACCGTTCGCTTCGCCGAGGAGGGAGGAGGAGGAGGGGGAGGCAGCGAAGGCGGGAGCGACGCGGCTACCCTCGCGGAACGGGTGGCGGAAGCCAAGTCGGAGGCGGCGGAGGCGGCGGCGGCCGTGTCGGTCGGGACCAGCGGCGGCGGCGGCGGCGGCGACGGGGGCGGGGGCGGGTGTACACGGCGAAGCACGGGGGGGGTCGGGGGGGATCAGCCTGCTGAAGACGGGCGGAGGGACGCGGTGGCGGCGGCGGAGTCGGAAAGGAGCGTTGGTGGCGGCGGTGTGTTGCTGGGCTCTCCGTCCTCCGCGCAAGAAGACGAGGAGGTGCAGCGAGAGCTTTTCCGTAAAGTTGCACAGGTAAGTGATGCGACGCGATGCGCGATGCGGTGCGATGAGATGAGATAAAGTTGCACAGGTACAGTAGTGCGATGAGATGAGATGGCACACGACCCCATGTATTGTTCGCTTGTTTGGTGCTAGATTTTCGGTAGGCATCTGCCGACACTGCTGCGCGTGTTGCTGCGTGCATGTTGTCTGTAGTTCTTCATGGCCTCCCAGTCTCCCCCCTCACCTTCGTATTTCACCTTCCGGGCTAGCCACCATCTCCATGCTCCGCTCCACCACGTGGCAAGGCGTCCCTTTTTCTCATGACGTACGACTCGTCGTCTCACTAGCCTGCCCGTCCGGGCCTTGCAGAGATGCGAGGGGCTGGCTGTGGCATCCATATCACGACCATTCATGACACTCACACGTAGGAGCCCCCCCCCCCCTCCCCTCGCCGCCGCCCTCCAAGCAGGCCACGGAGCAGGGCATCCCTTCTTGGGTCCCGGTGTGCGTCGTGGCGGCCGACGGGACAGAGACGCGCGCCTACGCCGCGGTGTACCCGCTCACGTCCACATCGTCATCGTTCTCACCTCTGGCCCCCGCTAGGGACGTCGGTGGCAAAGCTGCCAGCGGCAGTGGTGGTGGTCATACCGGAGGTGATGGCGCTGCTGGTGACGACGCTGCTGCTGGCGACGGCGGGGGCAAGATTGGGAGTGGGGCTCGGGGACGAGATCCGGATGCGCTGACGGAGGAGGGGCAAGCGGGGGGGGGGCACAACGGCGGCCGCGACAGCATCAGCAGTGATCGAGAAGGCGTGCGAATACGCCACGCCTTGTGGGAGTTCCACTGCATCGACAGGAGCACCTGCGTGAGATTTTTTGCGTCTTTTTGAACTGTGGCGTGTGCACTACTGCTGTGCTTCGCACTTGTATCGGCGTAAGTTGGATTTGTTGTTTGCATTTCATGTTTTGTGTGGGAGGTCAGGTGCACCGTTTCGCGAGCGTTGTTTGGTATCTCCCTCAACCCCCGTGCAATATACTTGCTGAGCATATTGGCGCGAGTTCGGCGTTTTCCTGTCCATCGTTTCGATTCCCAACCCCCCCTGCTTCCTCACTTGCTGCCGACTTGTGTATTTTACCTCACGGTAGCTCTTGTTCGACCGACTGGCTGCCGTCAGACACGCATCCCGTGGTGGTTTTTTTTATCCCGCTACGTCCGTTCATTGGTCAGGCGGTTCGCGCGGTGGATGCCAGCTAAGCAATCAAGCGCGCGCACACACACCTCACGGGGTCCCAGATCATGACCGTTAGACTCATCTTCTGTTTTCAACCACACTGAGACTGACCTTCTTCCATTGGTGAGCCGGTTTAGCGCCATCGATCCTAAACACACGCATACAACACGTGCACGCACCCACGCATGAACAGCTGAGCGTAGCGCGCCTGGTGGAGAAACTGATGGCGTTCATGCTGCTGAGGATCAAGGAGGCTTTGCTGGACCCTACTTGCGCGGACAGCTTCGTGCTCAACGACTTCGCGCTCCTTCTCAAGCAAAGCAGCAGCAGCAGCAGCAGCAGCGCCAGCGCCAGGAGACCGCGAGAAGGTGGCGACAAAGACGACGACAACGACCAGGTGAACACACGACAGCGTTGTGCGGAAGGTTTGGCAACACGCGAGTTGAGTGGTGGGGCGTAGGCTGAGATGCACACCAGCAAGTGTAGTACGTTTGTTTATGTGTTCCCACACGGTTGCAGAGAAGAACATAGCGTCCGTGGAAGCCCTCACGGGTATTCATACGCGTGCCCTTTGTGTGTGATTCAGACAGCGCCCACAGATAAGAAATCGGAGTTCTCGGAGTTAAGAACTTCGTGCTGAGCCTTACATGAACCATGAGAAGTTGGATATTGTTTGTAACCCCGGTTAAGCTCCCCTACGCGAAAAAGCTACTACTGCAGAAGTACAAGTATAAAATAGCGGCCATTTGTAGCTTACAAGAGGAGCTACGGTAAGAACCCCACCCTCGACCAATAGTAGAGGTTCTTCAAGTTCGGGCGCTCTCTGTAGTATCTGTATTTGGCTTCGCTCTTTGTGTGAAAGACGCATGGACACGCAGGATTGGATCAATTGAAACGCGTATGCGCGGGGCTAGTGCGTTTCGTTCTCCGCGGTGTGTTTGATCGTGCTGTCTGGAAAAGAGGGGTGCTTTCGTGACGTTCGAATTTAAGAGTACAAGCGGCACATCTATAGAACCCGAAACTGATGTGCTGTCAATTAACAGCGGGTTGGCGAAGGTCTTCAATTATCGCCACAAATACTGGGTTTGTCACCAAAGAAGAAAATTCGTTGGGTACGAACACTTGTAGTTTTTCGTACGTTTATGTCCACGGCGGCCCACAAGAGAAACTGTTGACGTCGAGGGTAAGCAGAGACACACAAGAGAAGCAATCTTACCATGGTAGCCGCCGGGTTCAAGAGCCAAGCTCGTTTGGCTGTGACTCCGTGTCTTCTCTCTCTCTCTCTCTCTTTCTCTAAATATGTATGGTTCTTTTCCACTCCGGGCCGTGTTCGCGCTGTCTTTTCTTCTTATGTGTGACAATCGTCAGGACGGCGAGCACGAGCGGGGGGCTGTACCCAGCGGCACGACCAAGGGCAAGGGCAAGGGCAAGGGCAAGGGTAGCGGTAGCCGCGAAGGCAACGGCAACGGCAACGGCAAAGGAGCAGACCGAAGCAGCAACAATGCCAACGGCGGCGGCATCAGGAGCAGCCTAGGAAACGCCCGCGACCGGATGAGAGCGGTGTCGTCCATGGAGAAGTTCTGGCGAGTGTACGCGTCCGTGTCGCACAGGGAGCTCCAGTTCCAGAGCGGCGGGATGCGCACCAAGGTGCGTGTGAGTGAGCGTCTCCCCTTGCCGTACTACCCTACAGCAGCTCGAGGGTTGCTTTTCGCACGGGGATACCTCTTGTTGATTATGTACAGTCGTGGCTCCGATATCAGAGGGCACCTTATGAGAGGGGGCTCCGGTGTATGAGGGTCGAGATCGGCTGTCACGGACTCGACCCTAAACAGTATAGTTGAGTACTCTCTTATTCCAGGTATGAGAGGGGGCTCCGCTGTAAGAGGGTCGAAGGCCTTTTTAGAAAGTACACATAGGGCCTCTGTCATAACACCCTCTTGTATCGGAGACACGACGGTATGTATGCACAAGTGATCCGTCCTGCCTGGGGGGGTATATGCAAGGTGAAAATAAAGCAGGCAGCAGGACCAACCCACAGCTGACGGCCAGCTGCCGTGTGACGCTTCCTAAAGCTCACACAGCCAGACTTTTTTTTTACGTTAACAGCCCAGCGAACCTGAACGAACCAAAATAAGTACATGTCAAAACTGTATCGCTGCCGAGGCGCCATTGTCGCCGGCCTTTGCCGCGGCTGTCGGCGTGTATTGTCCGTTGCCCAATCGAAAGATTCAAACTTGGCACAATCTATGGGACTACATCGGGCAAACCCGTTTATTTGGAAGAAAGTACGCAAAGTGATCACTTGTCTCTTTCGCTCCCGAAGCCTCGAGAGAACGCGTAGGGACAGGATAATCTCGAGACCATCCCAACCACCCCAAACTCAGCATTCGGTGCTGGGATCATTTGCGGGATATCTGCCCCCGGTGCTGTGAGAGCGCACAGCACCGGCGGGGGGGGTATCCACAGGCGAGGACCTCCGGCCACAGTTGCTGGCCTAAAATCCAACGCATCAAATGATTCACTCCGAGGAATACCTTAGCATTTTTGTTCCAATACAGAGCGGGCCCGGAGATAAGAAACGTCAAATCGGGCCGAGGTTCAGGTTCTTTGTCGTCGCCACTGTCAAGCACAGGGATTATAGTTGAGTGTCAGTAATAGTAGAGGTGTATTAGTGTAGGGTCCACCGCTGAGGTGTGTTTCTTAGACCTGAGGTGTGTTTCTTTGACCTGTTTTCTTACTTTTCGCGAAAATATTGGCCTCTGTTTCTCAACGGAATATTTCTTACCTCTCTGTGGGCCCGTCCTGTACCAGTTTCGTTTCAGGGCGCGCATACCTTTTTTGGGTAAGTTGGCCTGTGACCACAGGAACCGACCGCGTCAAGTGTTTGACTATTAGTACGGACAGAAGGAGGTACTGGGTAGAGAGAACGGAACGGTTTTTAATGTGAAGACAACCACAACAACATCAACAACGACAACTACACCAATTGCTTCCGCCAAGGTGCCTGCGGAGGCCACCATGACGGTGTGCCGGAAGAAGCTTCCGTTCGTAATGATGAAGTAACGGATCCCGGCTGTTGTTTTTTGGTCGTTTGACGCACCCCGCGTGCCAGCTCGCATCGTGCTCAACGTTGGGTGCACGTCCAAGGGAGACTTCACTAGGCAACCCTGTGATGTCTAGCGGCGTCGATGGTCATTAAATAGGCACACTGTAACACACTATAATAGCACGGGAGATGATGCAGCAAAAATGCTGGCCGGTGGCATGGAGTCTTCTCCTTGCACTTCAGAAGCAGGACACGAGTGTCGTCCAACTCCTGCGCGCCACTATTTTCAAGAGCCGATGTTTCTTAGTAGGGGCGAGAGGGGGCCCATACCGGGCGCGCGGGGGGGGAGGGGCTCTGCCGAATGGATGTTGGTCTACGAGGATGCCTGCCGGAGTCCCTAGCCTAGCCTCTCCGAGTGCCAATTTAATCGGAATGTGTTTCAGTTACCTCGCGCTTCGTCAGGCATCTCAGGTACCAAGCACCTTCCGAGGCAACCCCTATATGGAAAGGGCCCCTCAGGCAAAACCGCAGGCAGTGCCTGATCGGTCAGGGCCTCATTTCTCGTCCGCTCTTCTTCTTTTTGACTCGCCTTCGAGAAGGCCCGCTGCTGCCCCTAGACGTGCTTGAAGTACGTCTTCGGCGTACCTGGCTTTGCCTTCTTTAGGTTGTCGGGCTGTTGTGCGGTTAGCGCCCGGAATCGCTGTGTCCTTGTAGCTAGACACAGCGATCCTCGTGGCGCTTACCGCACAACAACCCGACACGCTAAAGGACGCCAAGCCTGGTAGGCCGAAGACGTACTTAAAAGCACGTCTAGGGCCTGCAGCAAGCGTTCGCGAAGGTGGGTAAAACAAGGACGAGAAAGAAGGCCCTGAGATCTGAGAGTTGGCGCCACCGGAATTTTCATATTTCTTGCGACGAAGACACTAAAAAAAGAACGAGATATTGATTGAAATAGAAGATGTTTTTTTGGTCATGACTTTAAATCAGCGCTTACAGCATTCGTGCCGCCTACTCCAACCCGCGGTCACGCAGAAGCGCCCGTCTCCCTGAGGCCTCCTGCCCACCCCTCCTGCGGTGCTTCTCTTGCGTTTTTTACTATCCCGCTACAACGCTGAAATCATGTTCATTTGCCAAGCCAGTTAGTGCCGTCGATGCTAACAACTAAGGCACATGCGCACACATGCCCCAACAGGAGAACGGGTTCCTGGGCGTAGACAGCGCGTCACGCTCTCGGTCTGGCGGCAGCAGAACTCGGAAGAGAACGGCCGGCGGCGGCGGCGGCGGCGGCGGGGGCGGCACGCCTGCGAGCAGGCCGAAGAGGACTCTCGGGAACATCGAGGAGGAGACGACGCACCTGCTCATGCACATCATCAGGTGTGTGTGTGTGTGTGTTTGTCCGTGCGTACGTTGTTGTTCTTAGAAGAGTACCAACAACCGATCGCGTCCTTTATCGCCCACTTTTACCCTATGAAGAGAAGTGAAGTCTCTTTCCGGATCGGAATGCGTGCGCAAAAATAGCAAGTTCATTAATTGCGAACAAATAGCAGTGCGGGGGCACGCGGACCCTAACCCTTACCCCAACCCCCAACTTAGCATGCTTTAACCAGTATGCTTACTTCGAAAAAACTGCGTAAACTATTGACTGGAAAATAATCACGAATAGGCTTTCTATTCTGCGGGGCCCCTTGATTTGCTTCGTACAGCCGCTCCGTGTGTGCGTTTTTCGGCCTACTAGTAGCGTCTTACCGCGCACGCCGCCTGACCGTGTTTGCGATTGTCAGTCTAGGCGGCACAAAATTCAGAGAACAGCTTCCAGTCCACGGGCTCCCCAGGAAGGGGGGGGGGGCGTACTCATTTGTTGCTTGCCGTAGTCATTTGACCATTGACCACGCGTCCCTTTCGAGACGGAGCAAGGGGGGGGGGGGGGGGGGGCCCCGAAAAAAAAAAGGGGTGGTTTGATAACCCCGAATTCAAAAAAACCCCTAGGGTTTTTTTTTTTTTTTGATTCCCTTTCCCAATTCCCCCGGGGTTTGGGCCTTTTCCTTTGTTGTGTTTTAATTTCCCCCCCCAAAAGGGGCCCCCCCTTTTGCTCTTTGAAAATTTTTGCCCCCAGGGGTTTTTTTTCTTGACCAAAACAAAACCAAAACCCCCCATTTGGTT